TCGTCATTTTGTGTAGCACTGTCCTCTGCCCTTTGTTGTAGATCTTTGCTGTAGTTATAACCTTCACACCTACTGAAGTTAAGGTGGAGCTCTACAGAGTTTGGACTTATCCAGCTGTGTCTGGCTTGGTCTGCCTGCTGTGCTCAGCTCCTTCCTGCTGCAGGCCAGGGCTAGGCCTGGGTCTGGGGGTTCCGGACCTGGGCTAGGCCTGGGTCTGGGGGCTCCCAGATCTCGGCAGAAAATCCTACTCGGCGGGCGGGGTGGGGGATGCACTGCGGAGTGGTGGGGGGCGGCCCGAGGGGCTGGGAGAGGGTCCGGCCCACGCTGTGCCTGGGCTGGGTCTGGTCTCGCCGGCGCAGGGTAGCAGGAAACTCTCCGCACACTCACGGGACCTGGGCCAGGACTGGGTCTCAAACACAGTCTTCTTAATCAACACTTCAACATATTGGTATGGGCAGTGATTTTTTTTTTTTTTTTTTTTTTTTTTTTTTTTTTTTTTTTTTTTTTCTATGACTCCAAAATTACAGGAAGCAAAATAAAAAAACAGACATCTGAAACTACATCAAGTTTAAAGTTTTCACAAAACAAAGTAAGAGATCAGCACAGGAAAGATACAACCAACAAAATGGAAGAAAAAAAGTATGTCAAGCTTGACAGAGACTTAATATCCCAAATACATAAAGAAGAATTAAAGAATCTTAATGAAATCCCCAAATGATCCAATTAATAAGAAAGAGAGATAAAAGCCAAATAATCAACCAATTTATGAAAAAATTATCCATATCATTAGCCACCCAGGAAATGCTAAACAAAATTACAATAAGCTATCATTTCTTTTCTCTTTGAATAAGTAAATTTTTAAAAATACTGGTGAGCGTGTGAAAAAAATAAACTTCTGTACGTTGTTCATGGAAATATCAATTGAAACACTACAGCTATTTTCTGAGAACAGCATGAATGTTCCTGAAAAAAATTAAAACCATTAGATTCTTCTATCCCACCTATGGGCACATAAGCCAGAGAAGGTAGCTGAAAAGAGAGGTACATGTCTGTTGATTTCGTCAGTAGATGAATCAATAACGAAAATGTCATAGCTGCACACAAACCCCTTTGATTTACAACAAAATGAATGGGCCTGGAGAATTAGGTAAGTCAGACCCAGAAGGTCTGACTGGGTATTCTCTTGTTACAGGGAAACTGCCAAGTAAGTGGACCTGAATGTGGAACAGCACTAACTCCCCATTCCAGAGAATGGGGGTGGGTACCTAAAGGCAGGTTGCATTGAATCAACCCAAGCTCCAAACTCGTGTTAAAATACCACACCAACCTCAATATTATAACTAATAAAATTTAATCAAGCATTTAAATTAAAAATATAGCAAAGTAGGAATTTCCAAATAGAAAAGATATATCTAGTAAAATAAGTCAGTGGACAAAAGTTTGCAGTTTAGTGTCAAAATCCTCAGTCTTATCTTCTGTAGCAAATTGTTTGCTTTGAAACCCCACATCTCATATTTTCCCCCTTGGTGACCATTTCACATTTTCTTTCTCAATTGTGGCCCCTTGAAATGCATGGCAGTAAGGGCTGTAGTCTCCTGCTCTTAGTTCCACAGCACTGCTTCCGCCCTTGTTAGTTCACCAGTCTGCAAGAGTAGACTAAGCCAAAAGATTTTCCAATTCTAAATAAGATCCATGATTTGCTTTTGGTTCTTGGTTTCACCTTGACTTTCATTTCTTCTTAGCTTTTTTGAGACAATGAACAAGTTTCTTTAGTTGACTCTTCAGGTCTCTAGGGCAGTAAATGTTTTTATGTCTTCCACCTCAAATTTTTACGTTCATATTTATTTAACTGGCTTTTTTCCTGATATGAGCTGTCAATGTTGCCTGTCAGTATTTCCATTACTTCAAGTACAGAACTTTATGTATGATGAAGATAGTCTAGCTGCAGTACAATTGTAACTTTTAGTATCTGAAAATAAATCATAGGCTATGATAGTCTTGACATTTCCACTGGTACAAAATATAATTGTTTCAGTATTAATTAGTTTAGGTAATACATTGTTGACCTTTACTTTATTGAACAAAACAAATAATAAAAAGGCAACATTAGAGCAACTGAGTTGGCCTATTTAAAATAATTTGAATTCATCCTATCACAATATTTACAAATAAATTATTCATTTACCTTATTATTGTCCTCATAATGCATTCTGCAATTAAATTAAAACCTAGAATTTGTATTAATAAAGCAAAGTTTCTAAGAAAGAAAAATGACTTCTATTAAAGTGTCTAATGAATTGATTATCCTTACACTTCAATAATAATATAATTTAATATATTCTTTGGTAGCAAGACAGCATTTTTAAAAGGTAATGCCTCAGTTTGCAGTTTCAGAATTAGATATATGAATACATTTTTGAATTATATCCTGGTCTGAAACAAAATGCATTTTTCATTAGTCAAAATATTAATAGGGATTGTGAATAATGGATCATTGTGTATTAGGGTTGTATAAATAGAATTTGCTTAACATTTTAGTATATGTATTAACTACTGAGTCTCATCACTAAGTAAATTTATAATAAACTAAAATTCTTAGCTTTCAAGCCTTTAAATTACTTTTCAGCATTGAAAACACATTAGAAATTCATGAATTCAAAGTTTTAGAACCATTCATTATTAAAGTTTCAGAAGGCTGAATGATATTATGAATTTTCAGATTAATATATATGCATATATATGATTGATGCATTGTATTTTCATAACAACCCCTCAAGTTTAACTTTTCCTTCTGATGGGGTGGGTGGACTTTAAGCTTAACAACATTTGAATATAAAGAAATATAAATCTATCCAAAACCACCATGCATTCAATACGACATCTTCTTGATGTCTTCTCATATAACATAAAATGTCTCCAATGAAGAGTAAACACATGAATAACAAACCACTATGAAATACTTTTAAATTGATTCTGCACTTACTCAGCTGTTGCAATACATGGATTTTGATGTTTTCGGTTGGAAGTCTGTTTCTGTGCATATGATTTTTGTTAAGGAAAAACAATGAAATCACATTACTGTAAGCTGTAATGCAGAAAAGTAACGCAATTCAGTTTAGATCTATCATTTAATTGACATAAGTGAATTACATATTTATCATCCAGATTTTTCCCACAAAACAGAGGGTACCCATCAGCTTTATAGCAAAAGAAAGGAAACGGAAGAAGTTTCCCATTATGCGGAGTGGTACTTTATTTATAAGAATCTTTAAATTAACTGCTTGGTTGCCTTTTAATTGATTTTATTAGTTTAAAAATTTTAACCAAGCACACATCTTTTTCAGTGCATACTTTTGGGAAGTCTTTTGTGTCACTTGCACAATTTGGTTGTTAAAAACTTAAAGTTTTGTGGGTATGGCTAAATTGATAGCCACAGATATTGGTGCAATTTATGATTTATTTACACATGCAATATGTGGTTTATTCTTTAAATTTAATATATCTCATATTTTTAAAGTGGAAATTCAAGAGTTTTCTCTGTTCATTCAATTTGAACTATAGAGGTGGGTGTTACTATTCAAAACACTTTCAAAAGATACCAGAAAACATATTTGCTAAATTCTTCAGAATGTAAAAAATTTTGTCCTAAATGTTACAGATGATTTGTCCTTACCTTGTACAGATGTTAATTAACTTTAACATTTGGTGCATAACTTCAGAGAAATACTTGTCTGAGGGTTTAGCAATTTGGCACAACAAAAAGCACAACATTTTTAAATATATACAGTATTATAAAATAAGCAGATAAAAATAAAATATATCAGGCATGCAAGATAGCTCAGCAGAGTAAAGCACTTGCAGAGTGCTGGAGCCAGGGTTTGATCCCGGCTTGCTGCGCAGGCCTCATCCTGGGGGCACACTGAGACGGTGATTGAGATTGGGTGTGGTGGCATGCACCTATAATCCCAGCACTTGGGAGGCTAAACACAGGAGAATCACTGTGAGTCTGATCTAGTAGTAAGACCCTGTAGACCTTGTCCTAAAATATAAATAAATAAATAAATAAATAAATAATATCAATTTGTGTTACTTTCCATTTCTGCTGAAGTTTAAATCATGCTTTACAAGTGGCAAGATTTTGCAAAGTGTTAGACATATTTATAATACTTAGTTTCATTTCTTTTGTTGTTTTTGTGCTTTTGTTTGCTTATAATGCCAGGGACTGAATGCCAGGCCTCGTGTCTGAGAACAGCCCCTTTTTATTTTGCTAAAGGTTCTCACTAAAATTCAGAAGCAGGACTAGAACTTGCATTGTGCTTGCCTTAGCCTCCCCACCCCCATCTGAGATTAGAGGCATAAAAATCTAGACGTAAATAATATATAGAGGTTTTTACCAGAAGTAGAATATTCTTTTTTTTTTGTTTGTTTTTAAAGTGTGTTTTCTATCAATATACATTGGCTACAAATTCTCTTTCCCTCCCCTTTCTGCCTGCCCCTATATCTTTTGATCCTATCCCACCTCTTTTTTTTTTTTTTTTGTACCTATTTGCTGTCACATCTGTTCTGCTGATAATACTGAACAACATTAAGCACATTTCTTGGCAATTTGTACATCTTCCCCTAGGAACCTGCATAAGACTTTCATTGAACATTATTAGGTTTTTGATGTTTTTATTGACATATAGTGAATAACTCTTTTGAAGACAACACTATGCAATAGAACAACTACTATGAAATTCATGCTATACTGTTTAGTGCAATTCTGTATCATTTGTAATTTATTTTATTTTATTTTTATTACTCTGTGTGTGTGTGTGTGTGTGTGTGTGTGTGTGTGTGTGTGTGTGTGTGCATGTGGCCAGCTCAACCTGCCCTGGGGGCAGGCTGGAGTGGCATGTGGTGCTTGGGATCAAAGCGTGTTCCCTGTGGTTGCATAAGTTTGCCTAAATAGGTACTTTAGATCACTGAGCTATCGTGACAAAAATATGGACTACTTCACGCATTGGTGTGCCTCATCCTTGTTCAGGGGCTGTGCTAATCTTCCCTCTACTGTTCCAATTTTAGTATATGTGCTGGTGAAGTGAGCACTCATTTGTGGTTTTTTTTTGTTTTAATACTATTTTGTAGTGTCTTTTAAAAATAAAAATAAAAGAGAAAATGCTCAAGAATAAAAGTTCTTTATATACATTTTAAAAATAGGTAATAACATTAGAAAAATACTTCAAGGCTTTCTTTACTCAAATAATGAAAGCATCTCCTTCCATTTTTCTGATAGTTTTACTTTCTAAATATCCCTTGTATGATAAAAGTTTATCCAAATACAATTCTTTAGCCAATTTATGATCAATGATTTTGTTTTTGTAGCTTGTTCAAAAAATTATTTACTCCTATTTCATCCTTAAAGAAACCTGTTTTCATATTCAAATTAATATTGTAGATTATCTAAAATTATTTCATGCATAGTGTAACACAGAGCACACATTATCATTGTGTGGATACACAACTGACCTGGCAAATTGTAAGAAGGACCATTCTTCCCATCGTGCTGTGAAAATAACTATACCCTAAACTCAATCTATGAACCGCTTTAACAAAACCAGGAAATTACAGTGCTTAGAAAGCACATTACAAAGAAAAGCACTCACTCTTTAATGACTAATAAATATTAGTATTTTAAACTCAAACAAACAAGTATAATAAAACTATAGA